TTCCAGCCTTAATGATTCTATGATTCTGTCTCTTGGGCCAGAACATTATTATAGTACTCTGTTTTTAACTATTTGTTACCTTGTAGGTTGATAAGATGTGAAGTAAAAAGATAATATTTCGAAAAACAATATACTTAAGAGAAGGAGATCTTTGTATGCATATGTGAATTGGCATACTAAAAAGATATCAGCCTACAGTATTAATACATTAGTCGTTACAGACTAAGGTTTTATTTGTTACATTTGTCATCAGGGCTAGGGAACAGAAATGGCCAGTTTGCCTTTTAATTTTATTATAGCTTTAATGTTGTAAGAGGCAGGAGAATGAGACAGTAGTCTGTACTGCTTATTACAGAGGCTGTGCTTTCCAGGGGCAGGTGATGGGTCTTGTATTTCTTTCAAACAGAAATCTTAAGAGTCCCACTCACTTAAATATACTGTTTCGTAAAACCAGAAAAAAAACTTTGTGTTTTCCTTGAAATGTTTAATGGGATCTTTTTTGAAGGCTGTGTCCAACTGACTCACTCTAGCTGTCCACAGGGCTTGGAATGGGGACCCCTACCCCAATTGCCCAATGACCTAGTGTTTTCCTCTGACTATGACAACATAGAGTGTTTCATATGCTGCCTTTTTTCCTATAGTCATGTTCCAAAACAGATTAAATACAAATGGTGAAATATTTAAAATTGCTGCAAATTGGGCAGCTCTAATTAATTATTCTTGACTTTGATCAGCAATCATGAGCTAGCCTATAAGAATACTCCATTTTATTTACCCAAAAAAAAAAAAAAAAAACCAAAAAACTTCACTGCTTCACTCATGGAATGGAAATTTTTGTTTGTGGAGTTGGGTTATACACAACAATTGTTGTTCCCCAGATGTGGTTGAATTTAAAGATGCTGGACCTGGGTCACTGCGCATCTGGAAGATGCGATCTGAAACCTTGTGCTTGTCCATGGGACTCTGCAGAGAGCAGATGACATCTCTGACTCTTAAGGCAGCCATGTTGCAGATAAGATGCATTGCTGCCTTCAGCACTACTTGGAGTTCCCTAAGCACTAATGGCTTTATACACAGGTAATAAGCAGAGTTTAGCAGCTACAAATTTTTCTGACTATAACTGATGTCAATTACCTCTCTTCTATAAAGTGGTCTACATAGTTTAAATGTTGGTTTTCATGTAATGCCAAAGCATGATAACATAGTAGATTCTCCACATATTCTCTATAAGAATAATTAATATTCCAGCAGGAACATCTTAAAAGGGAGATTTCTGTAAGGTCAGACAAAGTCAACATCCTGCTTATCCAGGTTTAGTTCTGGAATGAGTGACTACAAAGCCTACAAAGCAAGGAGCCCTCTGTGCCTTACAGTTCTGGCATGGGCTAGTTGTCATTCTCTCTCTTGCTTCTTGGACACTCTTATATGTCTGAATTCAAGTAAAACCACCATAGTGACTCTAGAGCGACTGTCTTCACATGATATAGTCCTCTGATACGCCCGGTTCTTATTATCACAAGACTCAGTCCTGATGAGAAGTGAGTGATCCCGGCCAATACTACTCAAAATTATTTGGCTAATGAGTTTATCAGGCCACATTCTGGTTTTGGTTGAGGAAACATATACAGAAGAGTTTCACTACGTCAAGTTAAGATAACCTAGTTACATCCTCTTGTCAGCTCCAAAACAGCATTATCACATCTTTGTTGACTTTACAAATGTAATATACTGTAATTTGAATCACTGTGTAGAAACTAGTTGTATCTTTATGAATGAAAGTGAGACCTGTTTTATTGTCAAATTCTTCCATAAAGACAGAAACAATGTGAAAGTATTAGATAAGGCTAATCTCTCTGAATGCTCTCTGCATGCTTGATTTTGCCTTCAGGCTTTACTGCAGGCAAATTCAGATTATGCAGTTATAAAATATTATTAAAGCTTAATTAATAAAAGTTTTTTTATGCTCAGAACTGTCTCAGAGCTTCTCAGTAGTGTCAGTAAAATTTAATTTTGTCACTTTAAAGATGAGGTGTGGGAGCCAGAGCTTTGATGTTCTTACTAGCAGAAGGATGTGAAGGAGAGAGGGAGAAAGAAGAATAGGACTAGGGCAGAGAGGTGCAAGGGAACCCCTGAGAGGTCAGTCTTGATCGTCCCATTATCAGTGGCAGAACAGGAGACGATGGGGTTGACCATGTTGGTGGTGTTTAAACCTATTCCCACCAGTGGTTACTAACCCATCTATCGTGATCCCTCCTTTAGCCACAGTCACAGCTAGCCTGTCTCTGCAGACCTTTGACATAAGCAAAATAGGCGTCAAGCCCAAGACCATGCTCATGACCTACCTGACTTTGTACCAGGTGGTCGTACGAAGCTAACGATGCAGAGCACTGCCTCCAGTAAATGGTTAACCCAGGACACAAGTTCATCCTGTAGCTGAAATCATAACTTCATGATATTTAGCCTCATGGGTAGAAAAGTTTAAATGAGATTGATTTTTCAAATTTTCTTGCAGGCATGCAAAAATATGTAATTCTGATACATAACTAAATCTTGCTACTGTTGGCCTTCCAGAAAGAAGAAACTCTGTAGTCTTAAAACATACACACATGCACACACACAAAAAAATTTGCTGTAACATGATGTAAAAATTTGTGATCTAAGTTGTAGCATGACCTTAAGACCCATAAAACTTTGCTCTGAAGATGAATGAACTGAAATGCTCTTCTGGTTTCAAGAATATTAAAATCTACTATAACTCACTAATTCAGAATTTTAGTTGTTAAGTTATTAGCAAAGGTGAGTTTGGTCTTGCACAGTAAAAAACCCCAACAGACTATAGACATCTGAGACACAATTATCTCTACACCTCTGTGTACCTGTATAAAATGTTGCCATGAATGCAAGTGTTTGCTCCAGGTTTCAAAATGTTACGTCTTAAATGCAGCACTAATTTATTTTTAATCATAATTCTAGCAATATGGATCCTATGAGGTTATTTGAAAAATAATTTTGGGAAGCAGGATTAAAAATACCAAATCATTCAGTGTAAAATTAGGGACTTCCCCCCCCCCCCCCCCTTTTTTTTTTTCACATCATTTATCTCTTTCATAGATATTATTGTTTCATAGCTTGTGTGGAGAAAGTAGTTTTCAAAAATGGAACTTGTTGATCAAGCATTTGCCAGTAATTTCCTCTTTTTTTCTGCCTGCTCACACAGGAGGTGATTCTTTCAGGGACGTACTTGGAAGACAGGGTTTTGATTTTGTTATTGCTTGACTCTGTGGGTCTCAATATATGTATGGTAGAGCCTAAATATTTATAAATCATTAATATAATACCCTGAAGATATGTTCAGTGCACAGTAAATTACTTTTATTTAAACTGTCAGCTTCACCAGCTCAGCTTTACCCAGAATCTTTCTTATTTTCTTGTCATGAGTAATAATAACTGAAGTGTTATTTAGATAACAGCTCCGCTTCTCATTACTGTGTAACAAAAAAATGACTGTAGAAAGCTTGTATTTACCAGTTTTTTATTATTATTGTGTTCAGTTAGAGAAGGCAGCAGCCGAGACTTAAAATATACTCTGTACCTGTGGAGAGTCCTGTTGTCCTTAGTAGGTCACAGCAGAAATCCACTTGTACACAGTATGATGCAGGGATGTGGTCTTACACAGGATTTTTAAAAACTGTGATTACCTTCCTACCAAGTGCGGTGAAGGCCTATTCCTTCTCTCAGCAGCATCAAACGGATTAAGGACAGGGACTTAGTATTATACGTGTGATTCCTTTGAGAAACCAGTGGACAAGTAGAAATTAATTCCTTCTTGATTTTAACTTGAATTACTTGTGCTTGTGATGGTTTTTATTAGATGTGCTGAGAACACCACTGTGCCCACAGCTCTTCACAGGAATTCATTTTAGTTTTGCCTTTCTTCTTACAAAAAAAAAAAAAAATTCAGATCTCTTTTTCTTTCCCTGCTGTCATGCAGTAAAGGACTTGACTCACACACACATGCACACTTGCAGATGTGTAGGTGTATTTTGTATGGATTTGACTTTCAAAATATTATTCTGTTTTTCTGATGGATAACTGTGGAGAATTCATTGAGTAACTGGGCTCTCTGTCTCAGGATACTGTCTGAAATTTTGATGAAAAATTAAATTAACCTCTCTAAGGAATGACACAAATATATGTATTCTGCATCAATATGATGAAAGTGCTGGAGGAGGGTTAGCTGGGGATATTGTATGTGATGCAGGTAGACTTTAGCATTAGAATTCTTTCATAAGCCACAGGCCCAAAGTACTTGTGTTTGTTGGGCTCTTTTAACCTTTCTAAGTCATAAAATCAAGAACTGAGAGTAAGTAAAAAACTATATGTCTAACTTAAAAACACAAGCAAATTGTTAGAAACTGTGGGCATCTGATGCAACACAATTGGGCTGAGGGGATTTAATGAATTAGTGATTAGAGATTAATCTCTGTAGCTCATTCTTAGCCTGCACCACTCATGATATAAAGCACGGTTACTTAATTCTCCTTCACTGTGGTTTAAGCTCTTCTTCCTTTGGAGTGAACTGAGAGCCTTTTACCATGACTCAGCTGGTGAGACTATCAGTTGAGTGTGACCCTGTCCTAGGCCCCAGCTTACTGGGTGCCTTTGTGTTGTGTGTGCTGTCCAAAGGCCCTGGTTGGCAGGGGCTGTATGTACCAACTTGTATGCATGTGCCTGTGTGCACTTTAATTTGTATCAATGTAAAGTTTTGATTCTGTATCGTTGTGAAGTAGTCATGGTTGAGTTTCTTCTCAAGGAGCTTTCTGAGGAAAGGCACTTTGTCATTTTCCATTTTGGAGTTTGTGTTATAAATCATCTTTTGACTGGTTTCTCCTTTGTGGTTCCTGTCTGAGATTTTAGTCCAATTATATACTTTACGAATAATTTCAAAATGGTTTTCTTTATCCTCTAGAAATTCAATTCTTAGATCCCTGAAGGTCAGTAACACTCTTAACCTATTAACTACCAGCCTCTGACAAGAATGTGGAAATAGTTTGAGCTATTCCAACTTGACAATATACAGGCTGATTTTATTTGGTATTTATTTTTAAAACAGTTATAAGAAGTCTGGAAAAAATAATACATTAGTAAAAATGGTTCACTGTAATTACACTTAACTCTTCTATAATTTTATCAGTGATTATATAAGATAATATCTGTATGATATTTTATTTATTTGGAAGCCTAAGAAGATGATGTGGTAGATGTTTGTTTTCTAACATTAGGAACTGACTCTCCATAGCCCTGCATTTTGGTTTAATTGCATTATTAAAATGGACTCGAACTGAAGCATATTTTTGTTTTCTTACCATAGTGTACTTTTTTATCTGAAACTTCAGTTTTTCCTTTTTCCTGTTCTCATTTTAAACTCTTGTTTCCAGAAGAAGAAAGAAAACAGAAAATTCTTTATCTGTTCCTAAAGATTAGTATTTCTTTGTCAGACCTTTTCTCTCTGTAATGTCCTTGAAACATCATTAAATATTTGAAGCTGGTACATATGATTTGGAGAAAGAAATTCAGTTGTTTAACTAAAAATCTTCAGTTTTTAAAGTAAAGGAAAAAATCTTTCAAAATCAGGTCTATATTTTCTCTTTCTATGTAAGGAAATCCCATATGATTGTGGCATCTGTGGAAGAGGAGGAAGCTGCATAATACTGTTTTTAATAGATTTTGTCAGCATTTTGTCCTACTTTTCACTTTTTCCCCTTTTAGAAACACAGACCCAATGTGATTTTTTTTTGAGTAACTGCATGTAGTAAGTCCATATTGTTTTTCTGTTTGTTTGTGGGTTGTTTTTGTTTTCTCTCCACTTTTATCTCTTCAGGAAGTGGGAATAAAGATCTAGTTCTGTCCTATTTTTCCATTTGATAAATCTGCTATGCACGTTCCTGCGGTAGTCTGATCTTCTAAGGAACAGCAGCTGCATTTCTGCAGCATTTTATCTCTGCACAGCCTACCAGAACACTGTCATTTCACATATCCAGCAGTTCCCACACAGAGCTGATTTCTTGGAGTGACAGGAGAAAGTCTAATAGCAAGTCTGCCCATGGCAAACGAGAGGTAGATACACAGGGACAGAGGTGGTGCCGACTCATCCCCTTGTTCTGCACAACTGATATTTATACACTGGCTTGTATGCCATGTTTTCCGATAGGTCCCACCGCCTGAAGTTTCAACATGGCCACAAAGTCTGAGGGAGTGGTTGCTTAGTATTGAAGAAATTGCTAGTCATCAAAAAAAAAAAAAAAACCATTGGTATATGGGAAGTGAATGTTCACACTGAATAGTCATTTATCCAGCACAGCCCCATAAACAAGCTGGGTGGAACTACTGTGGTTTTCACCAAAATAACTAAAACAAAACAAAACAAAACATGCTTGATGGATGATAGTGCAGTTTCCTTTTAACCTAAAGTTGCAGCAGAAAAAAATATTATGTTTTCTAATTTTTTATATAATTAACTACCATGCTGCAATTTTCTTCTATAATTGGCATACTTAACTGTATGATTTCCTACTGGTTGAATGATTTGTGTCATCCCTTGTACTTTTTTTGCTTGCTGAATCCCTACCATTTCTGTACTTGAAGCTTGTACGTTCTAGACTCTTTTTGATACTACTTTGCTGTTGTCATTTATTCTTTGTTCAGATGATGAAAATAGGAGCTCTGTGCATTTTCTGTGAGCATTTTCCCTTTGCTACCTGTTTAGCAGGACTTTAGGTGTAGCAGGTCTTTTGCTGATACCCGTAATAGACTTCACACAGACCTGCATAACACTGCTTTATGCCACGTGTTGGTCTTTTTTATATAAATGACTATGTCAGTAGTCAAGAAAATATTTCTTAATGATAAACTTGGAAGCACAGGGAGTCTGAGATTTCATGAAGTTCCTAATACAGCTTGACCTTCTTTTCCTCTCTCCATCATATTTTCGCCATCAGTGGGGTTCTGGGAATTCTTCTATGATGCTGCTTTGCTAGGGAGAGTTGTAAGATAGCACAGATCAGTTCATTGAGATCTTGGATGATGTAAGACCAGAATCTCTTTCTGTCAATAAATGTGTAAAATAAAATGCTAGACAAAATACCAAGAGTGACTATAAGATGTATGCATTGTGTGAAGGGAGTCTTTGTTGTATAGAGGAATTCAGTGATTAACATGAAACCCTGAACTTTCAAATTCAAAATCATATGGTTGACAAACTTCCCCAGAGTTATTTTGGGAATCTCTATCTTAAAGTTCAACATATTCCAGTAAGTACTATATAATTAACACTCTACGTTTGCAAAGCTGGTGTAAGTATAGACTTTTTAATGGCAAGTTTTCTTACTTAATTTCTACAAGAAAGTGTTGATGTGGTAGTAGACTGCAGAATGAAAAACTCACCCATAGATACATCATGAAAGAACAGTGGTGAACAGTAGTTAATTATTCATTTAGTACTTGATCTCAAAAGGTGTTATTTTTTAGATGAATGGAGTGTCTGGCAGATACACCTAATCCAATCAATCTACAGCATAGTATAAACTGAGTAAACAGTCACCTGTCATTTAATGAAACTTTATAAGGAAACAACTTGCTTTTTCTTTCTTTCTTTTGTGTGTGTGGTGTTGGTTTTGCTGGTGTTGTCATTATTATTATTATTTTTATTTTATTTTTATAATTCACATTTTCATGAAACTCATCTGTTCCCCATTCCAGTTAGTGAAATTGTTGGAATGGTGTCAAAGAAACTCCTTACCCATTCTGTTTAAATTCACTATACCATTACATTACCTTCTAATATTCACATAAATATTATTTTTATCAAAATATGCCATTCTGCCTATTGGTTGGGGTGCAGTGCTACATTTTGATATAATGTCTGAACACCAATTAAGGGACACCTGGTATTTTAATTCTGAAATTATTTCTACTGATATTGTCAGAAATGCAGTTTTTCTACTTTCTGATCTATCTGCTTGGAATATTATTGCTTGAAAACAGTCATCAACAGCCCAAGATTGTCCCTTAATTCACTTTTTAAAACTACATATCTAGAGTCTTAGGTAACAGCTTAAAATTCAGCCGATATTTGTAACAGTGGGAGTAGGTAATCAAGAGTCATTATGAGTAGAAACAGGTCAAAAAGTTGCATGCGTTTGGGCCCACTGACAGGATATCTGGGGATAGACGGAAGAGAAAAAAATGAAAAGATAAGGAAAAAATGGAAGTTAAAAGACAGAACTAGACTGAAGGATGGTCTTTGTGAGTGGAAGCAAAGTAGATGAAAAGATGTCATAAGCCTGCACTTATTTTCAGCACTAATACCCTAGAACATTATAGCATTTGCTCGTGTACATAACAAAATGATTTGTGTTTCTTCTCCTGCAAACATAGCATTTTAGTGAACAGTTTAGTATCTCAGTAGAATTGTCCACATTAATATTTTAGCTGTCTGATAGGGCTCAGTAAACTGTCAGTGAGAAATGCGGATTTCATTAAAATGAGCAGGTGAAACATTGCAAACTCATTTTATTTTACTGCTGACAGAAGTATTTTTTTTAACTTGGGGCAGTTATCTTGGGTATGGGAAGGGGGAATGCCCTAATAGATGCTTTCTGGCTGTTCTAATCTATTATGCTTTTGTTTCTTAATCATAGGTTTCTGTGCTTGAGAGGCAGATATTTGACTTCCTTGGTTATCAGTGGGCACCCATCCTGGCAAATTTTGTACACATTATTATAGTCATACTTGGCTTATTTGGAACCATCCAGTATAGACCTCGTTACGTAACAGGAGTGAGTATTTAATTTATTTACTTATTTTGATGCACATGGTGAAAAAAAAAAAAAAAAAGTGTTCTAAAATCTGTTGCTTAAAGTCAAATAGAAATCTTATCTTGGTTTAACTTTCTTCTTCTGTAATACTTTGCATTTACTTATGCTTTTGAGACACTGGTAGCTGTCTTTTTTGAGAGAAGTGGTAATAACCTACAAAAGTTGAAAGTCAATATGGTCACAAACTACATGACAATATGAATTTTCAAGAAGTGAAATCAGTTTGAAAATTATGGCGTCCTCAGAATTACAGGGATGTAGAGCTAGAATAAATGCTAGCCGTAACTTTCCTGGATACACTGGACCTCCCCAGCAGATCCATGATTTATTATAGTTACTCATTATTATTAAGTGTCATGGCTGCAGTGCCTATCTATTATATATATCCCTCCTAGAAATTATAGTCAAGGTAGAAAATGAAGTGTGAGAATATGATCAGAAATACATGTTTGATGGTTACAGATTGAGGGCTCCAGAATAAAAGTAAGGATTTGTACCTTTATGTTTTTAATCCACTTCTTTTCCTTAAGCACCAGTGTTGCTGTACTCTCTGGTACAGTACAGTATTAATTAAATAATAATTTCATACTCTGGGTTGGGTTTTTTGGCGTTCTTTTTTGTTTTTTTTTTCTCATTTGTAGGTCTATAAAGACAGAATAACAAACCTGAAAGCCATAATTCAGAACACTTTTTGTTAGAAATAGATTTGCATAACTATATTGAAATTGACTGCTAATTCAGTTAAAGCTTGTATACTTTTCAGAGACTGACAGCAGTCAAAAAGATTTGCCTGTACAGAACCGTATTTTCACATCAGATGAAAATACCTCCGCTGAATATGTACCCACTTCTGCAAAGTCCATTTCCTCTTATACCGTTCCCACATATACCAGTAATCACTCAGGAGACAGGAAGGTTTAGCTTGTGCCCCTGTGCTACCATCCATATTGCAGTAGAGTAAAGCTAACAGTAATACATTAGCATCTGTGTCTGTGTTTCTATCTCTGTGGTTTCCTATATGCAGAAGATGTGTGTCCACAGGTATAATGTGTTTATGTATGCACACAATTTAATATATTCCAAAACATGTATTGTCAACATTGAAAAATATATTGCGAGCCTTCAATATTTAGTCACAAATCTGGGAATCATGAATGTGAACTGGAATATTCTTCTTACATTTCTAGTGCTTTGACCAGTACAAAAGGCTTGAAAATACATTACAAAAAAAAAAAAAAATAAAATCAAGCAAGTGTCAGTTAAATAAAAAGAGCAAAAATCTCCATCTCAAGACTATTCCAAGGCTTAAAAATGAGCATGAACATAAAATACTTAGCTGAGATAAACAAAAAGCAAGATTTAGGTGGCCATTTCAAAAAAAAAAAATTACCTGCTACAATGATGAGTGCACTCTGAATGGGGAGGAATACCAGCCTTATACACAGGTACCATTCACATAAATTTCTGTATTATACTGTTTGTACCACACCATCCTACTAATTTTCACACATATCTTTTCTTAGAGCTCCCCCTCACCCTCATTGTGTAGCTCATCTGCCTTTGTGAATTTACCTGCCTGCATCCTGTCATGGAATTGGATGGAACTGGTCTAAATTGTTTGTCTTGCTTGGATTTTATAATAGACACCTGAATCTGCCATCTATCACAGACTGCTTAGATAATGAAACAATTTAACTTTTATCCTCCATTTAGTTGGATCAACACCAGAGTGCTGTGATTTTTTCATTTCTACTGCTGCTCTCTTTGGAGAGTGTCTGAAGTCAGGATAGGGGAGATGGTACCGGTCACTGGAGGGAGAGATAAGGGAATTGCATCCTTTTCTTCAGTTCTGCTGGGCCCAAAATAGGCACCTTGTTGAAGCCAGGCAAAACTCAGCGATGTCATCTGACATCAGGAGTAAAGTTATGAGTTCACAGGCAAGAGGAAAGACAACAGCCTATAAGCCTGCAAAGGTGTAGCTATGAGGTTTTCAAGTGAGTAGATGTAAATACTCAGACTTCAATAGATTCTGCAAGAGTCAATCTGTCTTGAGTGGACCCTATAGGACCCTTAATCCACAGTCACATTAGTAGCTCAAGTATAGCTTGCTTCAACAAGACTACAATAAATTTCCTTTTTACCGTGCATGTTTCATAAAGGGTATCACAAAAATGTTTTCCAGAGGTTGTGAATCATAGGTTAAAAAGAGTAGGGAGGTTTTAAGGTGAGATTTAAAGAAATGATTCAGTGGCTTAGGGCGAAGAGGAAATAAGTTTTAGACAGATGGGACACCATGGGTGAAAGTGTGTCCTTGAACTCACAGGAGTCACAGGGAAGTTTAGAAGTGGATTAGGGGAATAGGTGACTGTGTGGTTTCAGGCCCTGGAAAATAGTTCAAATTGCATGGGATGCAGGAGTTGTGGTGGACAAAGAGAAGAGGAAATTGAAGCTTAATATCATCAGAGTGGTTAATCTTAATATAGGTTCAGCAAGAACACATCCATTTTTGCTTGTAAACCTAAACCATTAACCAATAAATGAGTAATTGATGCAGCAGGTGAAACATCTGTTCAGAGGGTGGGAATAAGTGTCTTTTCAAAGGTGTCCTTTCAAAAGATAATAATTAAGCCTTTTTTTTTTTTAAACAATAATGATAAAAGGACTGCTTAACTATACTGAAAGAGAGAATAAGGATTTCAGTAGGAACAAAGGTTAGCCAGCATAATGACTGAGATGTGAATGTGTTTTTTAGCATTGCTATCATCATCAGATCCATCAATGCAAGGTAATACCAATGCAAATTATTAAGGATTCTGGAAAGAAGCAATGTTCTTCACCTGGGTAGGCCTCTGCCTGAAGGTTCAGTTTCTCCCCATTCCGTCTATAAAAGGAGCTGTCTGATATACTCAGTGCATATTCCTTGCTCTGCTATTATTAGTTGCCTAACCAATCTAGTGACCTCCTCCAATGGAGTAACTGCATCAGTAGACAAGGGAATAGCTATGGATGTAATCTATCTAGACTTCTGTAAGGCCTTTGATATGGACCCCACAATTTTCTACCTGGGAAATTGGAGAGATATGGGTTTGATAGATGGACTGTTGGATGAATAAGGAAGTGGCTGGATGGCCACATCCAAAGAGTTACGCTCAATGACTCAGTGTCCAAGTAGAAGCCAGTAAAAAGTGATGTCCCTCAAGATTCCATACTGGGAACCAATAGTTTTTAGTATCATCATCATAAACATGGACAGTGGGACTGAGTGCACCCTCAGCAGGTTTGCTGACAACACCAAGCCAAGTGGTGCGGTTGACAAGCTTGAGGGACAGGATGCCATCTAGAGGGACCTTCACAGCCTTGATGAGTGGGCCCATGTGAACCTCATGAATTTCAATAAAGCCAAGTGCAAGGTCCTGCATCTGGGTTAGGGCAACCCCAAGTATTAATACAGGCTGGGGAATGAGTTGATTGAGGGCTGCCCAGCAGAGAAGGACTTGGGGTACCTGGTGGACAAAAAATTGGACATGAGCTGGCAATGTGCAGCCAGTTGTATCCTGGGCCACTAAAAAGAAGTGTGACCAGCAGGTCGAGGGAGGTGATTCTCCCCCAATACTCAACTCTTCTGAGACCCCTCCTGGAGTACTGTGTCCAGCTCTGGGGTCCACAGTACCAGAAAGACATGGATCTGTTAGAGCAGGTCCAGAGGAGGGCCAGAAAAATTATCAGAGGGATGGAACAGTTCTCCTATGAAGACAGGCTGAGAGAGTTGTAGTTGTTCAGAGAAGGCTCTGGGGAGACCTTTTTGTAGCCTTTCGATATACAAAGGGGACTTATAAGAAAGATGGAGAAAGACTTTTTACCAGGGCCTGTAGTGACAGGACAAGAGGCAATAGGTTTAAACTGAAAGAAGGTAGGTTTAAATTAAACGTAAGAAATAAAATTTTTGCAATGCTGATGGCAAGACACTGGAACAGGTTGCTGCCCAGGGAAGTTGTGGATGCCCCATTCTTGGAAGTATTCAAAGTCAGGCTGGATGGGGCTTTGAGGAACCTGATCTAGTGGAAGATGTCCTTGCCCATGTCAGGGGGTTTGGGCTAGATGATCTTTAAAGGTCCTTTCCAACCAAACCATTCTGTGATCCTATGATTCTATGAAAGGAAAAGAATAAGGAAATGCCACTGAATAAACTGATGTTTTCTGGTTCCTGTGTTATGGAAAACCTTGTCAATCTCATTCTGCTGTTCTCTTAATGTTTCTAGAAAGTATTCTCAGACTATAGAAGGAGGACAAAAAGCCCCATTTGTACTGAATGTCATTCTCTTCTCCAAAGAGAGGAATCCACCTGACAGGTGAAACCCACCTTATAGTTCTCCAGTCTTACTTTTCCCATGGTGACCTCTTCATTGCACAGTTCACATAGACTTTGGTTGTGTGTGAAGTGAAATTATGCAGTGGACACTGCTACTAACATTTTCTAAGGGATTAATTTATTTTGTTCTAGTATGCCCTTCTCTTAGACATAGTACTAACATCCCCTAATAATAGCGAACTTAATAGGGACTCATACAGACCACAGTATACTAGCAGAAAAGAACAAGGATCTCAGTTTGACACAAAGCAAATTTGCAACCTTTAAGAGCAAAAAGAATCTTGTACAGGATAATACCTGGTCACATTAAGTCTGAGAGAAAAGGATAGATTATTACTGGTACATTAGTTAACACGTAATTGCTGATATATATTAAAAAAAAGAGAGAAGCAATTACCTTATGTCTGAGCTTCTTGCAGCATCATCAGTCAATGGCTTCAAAACCCCTAGTGAGGTCTACTTAACACCTTGTATGACAAGTAGCCCTGAGTCTACCAGGTCGGTTTGGGGGTATTTCAATTGTATATTGCAATTTAGTACCTTCCATGTTTTAAAATGTTTAAAGTAGTACATGAAAGTATGCACAGTTCAT